AAATAATTCAAATAAATTAAATAATTGAATTATTTAATTTATTTGAATTATTTGAATTAATTAATTTATTTATATATTAGCTAATTTAAATAGGACGTCAAATAGACCCTAAAGGTATCTCTATCATATATATATATACTTATATATATATATTGGGTTTCAATTAGTTTGTTACTTGACGAGCCTGAGCCAAGCTGGCAGCACAGCATCTGCCTTTAACACCGCTTCTACCACCGCAGGAGTCACCTCGATCCTGCACCCGTCGGACCACAACTTCAACGAGACAGAGTATGCCGTGCACGGAATCGAGGCTGTTCAAGCAATTGCAAAGCATGCGCAGCCAGTGCATGATGTCCAATGTCTCCAAAGCAATGGCTTCTGATTCTTGAACTGCCGAACAGTCACATGCAATTGCCATGTTGACCCTGCATGGATTTGCACCATACTTCTGTTCGTTCATGGATCTCGTGTAGGCGAACAAGTGCTTAGCGTCCTGCTGCACTATTGACTGGTACAGCTGGAGTACCTTCAACAACGCCTACGTGCAGCCCAACTTAATATTGAGCAGCAGTGACGGCTGATGGAATTGTCGGCCCTGACAGAGGGTCGTTGCTGCTGTACTGGCCAAGGACCCAGGATCACTACATGATGGACGCAAACACAGGTCCAGGTTTTTTTGTGTGTGATGGCAAGCGCAAAGACCCCACCATGTTTAAGGCCACATGGCTGCATTCGGCTCCATGGAGGAGGTACTGAGCTCAGTTGGACTTGTCAGGCGAAGGGTTAGAAATGCGGTGGTTGTCCTCCGGTTCCTTCGAAGATGAGCAGCAAGTCCCGCAAGCTTGCTAGATGCAACGACTTGACACTCCAGCTGGCAAGGCCAAAGCTGCGTGCGAGATGATGGGTTCAGTGTGGCTTGGAAAGCACGACTCGTACGCCCAGGAGAAAGTAAAAGCGAGCCATGCAAGATGACTTTCTTTGAGGCTGTGCTTTGGCATCTACGACACGAAGTGCGATGGTGCCAACGAAGAGCGACCTGTTACGTTGATCAAGGCCAGTCAAGTGAAGCTTGGAGCCAAGCTCTTGCGTTTCTGCTGAGCTGAACATGTGACAAAATCGACCGTTCCAGCATCTGTCAGTGCATACATGGCAATCTCTCTTGCAACTTCCCGGTCCCTATGTCCAGGCTCCGGGGCTGGATCTCGAATCCGTCAAGGCAGTGGATGAGTTGCTGGGGAATACTTGGGAAAGTCGTGTGTTGCAGACTCATGATAGCCCCAAATCTCGCTGCACTTTGGAGGAGTCGAACATTGGAAGCTGCGTCCTCCGCATGAAATTGGGCCTCTTGGGCTGCTTCATAGCTTGGCACCAGTACCACCCGTGGACTTCCAGGATGGATGGGGCACTGTCTTCATTTCGATGTATTTTGATAGGGGCAAAGCACCTGCCGGGTGCGGGCGATAGAGAGGGTTGGAAAAAAGCACAGGTTATGGGATAGAGAGCAGTTGAAAAAGACAATCAACAGCTCACCAACCATCCAGGACAGCACTCGGTCCGGCAATCACAACCACATGAATCCGCACACCCAAAGCAGCCCCATTATGGTCTTTGTCTTAGAACGGGTCCAAGAAGTTGTTCATTGCTTCCTAAGCTCAGGATCTGAGACAACTGTGACGACGACCATTGCCCAGATCTGCAGCTATGAGGTGAACGTCTCCCGCACAGATCTGGACCCCCTTTTTTTTCAAAGGCGAAGTGCAGGGACCGCTACAATTCATTGTAATCAATAACTGCAGGACCCTACCGCCGTCTGGAAGACCTACAAAGTCGAAAACCAGGAGTACGGTGAGGCCAACGTTTGCAGTGCTGTTGTACTGGCAGCCAGCAGGGAAGCAACAATGATATGAGATATGGGTAGTAATGCGTTCAGTCCAGGTCTTCAGATTCAACGGCTGCGCTCCTTGGCACAGTTTGGCCTGAGAAACAAGCTGGAGGATAGCAGCTTCAGTCTATGGGGATGAGCATGCAAAGGCAGGCAAAGAATTCCACCTCCGGATACAAAGGCTTAGGAGCTCCTAATGGCTTACATGCAAGTCCAGCCTGGAATGAAATGTTCTTTTTTACATTTTTTTCGGGGTGCCAAAGTGTCCATTTCTTCTTTGAACGGGGCCTTCGTATAGTTTCGGCATTCTCTGCATAGAACGTCAACAATATTGCATGCTGGGGCCATACATGCAGGTATTAAATTGTTTCGGGCAATACCTGGCGTCCTCCCCGACTAGCATTGCCCTACAAAACTTATCTGGCATTTTAAGTGTTCCGTTGTTTCAGGATCGGCTCGTAGTTTGGACTAGCTTGGACAGATTATGCTTGGGGTATGGCGCGGTGCCCGCCATTGTGGGTTATGTGACGTGGGTTTATTGTGAAGCTATGCGCTTTCAGCTTTTTTGAATGCAAAGGGCTTAGCTCAGGTCTATGTTGACCTCTACGCTTAACACTTCCGCTCGTCAGCCGTTACGATCTGCATCGCAACAAAATTCTAGGCAAAATTCGAAGCAACCCCCAAAGCAATCTCCGAAGCAAAATCACCAAGCAAACCCCGAAGGATGCCCCAATCCAAACATCCCGGCTTACCCACGGTATTGCCGGAATTATCCACATTGTTGTGGCATATTGGATGACAGAGGGTCCTCCTTGTTTGAAATCATGGATCAACTGTTGGGGCAATTTCTTGGCTACACCTTAACGACCAGGTATCATAAGATGTGTACTTTCATGAGTGAGTGGGTAGCAGCCCTGTAAGTCAGGCCAACGCAGAGCTGGACGAGGCAGCTGACTGCGTCAACTCGGGAGTCGCCAACGGTGTGCGAGTGTTGAAGAACAGGCGCGCGTGGTGGCTCCCTGAAGGGTGGGTTCTAGAACTCATGAGCGGCTGTGGATTGACCGCATAACGGGTATCTGCGGATGTTGGGCAGGTGGTCCGCATCAGCTTTCTTGTCGAAGCTTCTGTCTCCTCTCGTGGGCACAGGGACATCTTTGCCCTATGAGCAATGGAAACCAAAGACTTCCCCCAATCATGGGTCCTAAGTCCTGAGCCTAACTCAGGCTAGGATGTCGCCCAAAGAGATGCGCTGCGCCAGGCACGGCCAGGCGGTGGGAACCGGTGTCTGCTGTGCTTCGGCCACCAACACAGCACCTGGGCGAGAGCCAGATAACCTTGTAACAGCTAGGCTTAGGCTCTGCGTTTCAGTTTTCGAGCTTTGAGCTGATGCCAGCAAGAACGTATTGGCACATAAGCTTCCGCTGATGCGCTAATGTGGATCCTCTGTTTCTTCAGGCGCTTGTGCTCTAGTCAAGTCAAGCTCAGGTCTTGTCTCAGAAGGCGATTCAGTGTGATGGCTCCTCGGTTGCAAGGAAGTGCAAGCATGCGAGGTGTTTCTCGGTACCGTTCATTGGGAATCTCTGTTTGCGAGGAAGCGGAAAAGGGGAGCTCGGAAAATGTTCCCGCTCATTTTTACCTTCGATTCTCTTCTCTCTTTCTGTCTTTCGTTCGTTGCCTTCTTTTCTCTCGGTCTTTCTTGATTTTTCTTTTCTGTGTTCTTGTCTTTACTTCTTTCCTCACACTCCTTCATCTGATTTTCTCTTTCTTAACAGCTTTCGTTCTCTCCTCTTTTCGTTTTTGCGCGCCCGTCTTTTAAGAGCAAGCCCTGGCCAGCATATCGCAGGCTATGTGGACGACTACACCAAGTTTGAGAGCAAGTACCTTCCGGCCCAAGTGGCTGCAAGACTTTGTCTGATGTATTCAGAACATGTCCGGAGACACTTGTCTCTTGATACCTTGATCTTCAGCATGCAGCTCAAGCTTTAGTAGCCAATCGAACTCGAAGCTGTAGCCAAATCTGAGGCAACGACCCTAAAACCTACCTGCTCTCGCATCACATCAGGCCACAAAGTTGATCCGCGGCACGACCTACAGCAACATGGAATCTGCCAGGGAATCTTGGCAATCATCAGCTGAGAGAGAAGAGTTTCACGAGCATTGAGGTCTGTGATAGTCCTTTCCTTCAATCTTGGATTCATGTGTCTTTTGGCACTGAGGAAGCCTGTCTGCGTATGGGCCACAAGTGCTGGGGCATCTTTGATGACAAGTGCGACACGGTTAACCTGATGCTGGTGGATGGCTACATCGATGTCGATGAGAGCCGCGTAGCACAAAGATGGCCTTGCTTACTCTTGGGAGGGTTTACTTGGGCAACATGTGCTAAGGCACCTTCAAGGACTCATCACAGTCCTCCTGCATCATGAAGAAGCACACCGTCTGAATGAACGCAGCTCTCGCGACAGGCGCAGCTGAGTGGTAGGGGTATCCTGTGCCCAATCACAACGGAACACTTGCTGGATACGTAAGTTCAACGTCCTAAGATGTGCACGACTGAAGTTGTATGTTCCGAAGTCTGGCGCAGCACTGGCTCGCACCCCGTCCTGACGTAGTTGCATTTGAAGAGTGCTCTACGTCGGGACTTTAGCTCCACACCTTTGTTTTCCTTTCTGCCTGGCAGAATAGAATATGCTGCCGGAGCCGTCTTGGTATGCAGCTAGAGACAAAAACGGGCAACTTGCAGGGAACCGTGCCATTGCTGCCGGACTGGAAAGATGTTGTCGCTGCAAGCTGATGCATGCACCAGTTGCGTGCCGTGAGCAGAGAGCAATTTGCGGAGCGCGAGTGTTCTTGTACTGCAACATCTGCAACAAAAGCCGTGCATAGCAGTGCTAAGGCTTCGAGCGTAGACACAGCGTGAGGGCTGATGGTCTTGAGCTCAGCGAACTTCACGTGATGCTGTTCTTGTTAGCTGCCTGCCTGGCATGGGGAATGGGCATTAGGCCTTGTTCCCTTCATGTTGTTATCGCAGAGGTCGATATAGTTGTTGTCTCATGCAGGCGTCCTTAGTCAAGGATGCAACTGCACTTTCGCCGCCTGGGAGTGGATGAGTTTCAGCGCTTTTGTGCTGGGGGACGGATCCATCTGCCAGTCTGGCACACTGAAACGAAAGAGTAAGGATGCAAGCGTAGTCGCGCTGCAAAGACATTGAAGAGCCGGCTACTTGAGATCGTCATCATGCCCGCAACTCTGCACACAAAGCTTGCCGCCCCTGCGGCAGGTGACGTGACAAGCTCCCAAGCATCCCAGCCAGTCTCCTGCAAACATGGTCAGTTGAACCAGGCCCAGATCGATGGGTGTGTCCGGAGATAACGGGCCCACCATTTGCCGCCTCGCCTGGGCCCCAGCGTCCGACTGGCGCAAGGAGAGTTCGGTAGTATTCGATAGCCGGGCTGCGGCAAAATGTCTAGAAGGCTTCGGGTTGTACGAATGTTTAGGCACTTGTAATGATGATGGCCAATGTTGTGGGGTGATCTCTAGATTCTAGATGTCAGTTTGGTGATTTCTTTGGCACCAACAAGTTCGGTACTGATGGCAACTGCCCTCAGGTCTAACCCCACCTACGACTCCAGCCATGTAGCACTGGCTGTTGGGGCGGCTTCGGTGGCAGGGAAGGGTTCTGAGGACACTGGTGTTAGGTTGTTGGTCTCATCGTTGGTCTGCACCTAGTTGGATGGTTGGCATCCTGTGCTTTTCTTGATGGATATGTAACGGATTCTGCCATGCACGATGTGTTTGTGGATTTTGGGACGTATGTAAGATTTGCCATGTTCGGGCTTTCTTCCTGTACGGTCAGCTCAAGGGTTGAAGTTTGTGTAGCTGTTGCAAGTTCTTGTCAAGGTTGTTTATTGAAGCCATAGTGTGGCTTTCGGTGCCGAGATGTGCCGAGTCCATGAGAGACCCCCAGAGGCTTGGACACGCATGTGCGCAATCTGCGAGAGCTGGAAGCAGCTTTGAACCAGACATTGCCGCTATGCTCAAGGGGGTTTGCGAAGACCACCAACATAGACCATGCCGCGATCGCATTGTAGTTGAATATGGGTTCTGTGTTAGCTTTTTGCATGCATGCGCCAGTCTTGCGCCCAAACCCACGAATAGCCGACATGCTTGCTGTGCAAAACCCGGCATAGTTCGAATACACGGCACAAGACATTGACATGTTCTTAGCCGCGGCTGCGTGTTGGGGTGTACTGCACGCATGCAAATTCCCGGTCTGTTGCCATCTAGCCTCACGAACAAGCTTGTTGCCGCGGTGTTCATGCATTCAAGTGGCTTTATGCACCCCATCTTTGCAAAATGGCCCGGTGAACCAATGTCAATGCATGGCTCGCACAAGTTGCATCTGAGGCGATGCTGAGCAGAGAGGCGGACAAGGCAACTCTGTCCGTGCAAGCGCTGTGCAAACAGTTGTCTCCATGATGTGCATGCCAAACCTGGCGCGCTGGTCGTGCTGGTGCACGTCTATCTGCAGTCTGCCGCCTCTATGCGACAAGCTACAATTACAAGCCTTTAGGAGCAACTATGCTCCTTCCCTTCCATTGCTAGAGCATTACTCCTTGGAAAAAACATGTCCGATAGGCTTTCACTGATCTTTATTAAAAGGCAGCTTTGTAGACAGCCATTCCCTAACATCGGCTTCAAAAAGAGCTCCTGTCAGGACCGGCTCCTTCATGCAGAGCGGACTGTGGGGCTTTTCCAAGCGCTGGCGCCACCTAGGCACTGAAGTTGATGCTTCCGAGCCCCATCGCCCCGGGATGTGCAAGCAAGCCAGCAAGGCTCTGTTAGGCCCAAGTTCTAGCCCTCTGGCCTTTAATTACTTTAGAGAGCCTTGCATGAGAGTGCTGGCCCTGACTCTCTTGGGAGTCTTGCACAGCCTATGTCGACTTGGCCTGTGCAGCTCAGACTGCGATGGAGCTGACGACGAAGACAACTATGTCTTCAGCGCGCTCCAAGTCTCCATGGCGCCAGCGGCCCATCGTTTTGAGAAGGGTACCCTGGTCTGTTTTGGGGACGACTGCCACAGTCCCCCCACAGCGAATACATGGAAAAAACTCTGGCAGAACTACTCGGTGTCAGGAGCTACAAGCAAGCTGCAGGGTCCGTTGGGCCATTGCTGCCCAGCTTGCGATAGCATCTTGACACAAGGCTGCAGCAACTCACGCCAGGAGGAGCATATCTTTGTAAGTCATATCCAGCCTTTCATGCCCCAAAGCAGGAACACGCCTCCGGTGTTTGTGGAGCTGGGCGGGTTCGACGGCTGGGATCAGACCAACACGCACTTCCTTGAGAGCTGTCTGGGTTGGAAGGGCATCATGATCGAAGGCAATCCCGAAAACTTCAAGATGCTTCAGAAGAATCGTCCGAACACGGTCACGATCAGTAGCGCTATATGCAACGAGACCACTTCTGTAACCTTCGCGGGGCAAGGTGCTGTGGCTCACGTTGGTGAATCTGGAGTTGTTGTGCCTTGCGCTCCTCTCCAGTCATTCTTTGACATGCTTGGTGTCCAGCATATCAGCTTCTTCAGTCTTGACGTTCAAGGATATGAGCTGCAAGTGTTGACGTCAATCGACTGGGGAAAGGTGGCAATTGCTGCGCTGGTGGTCGAAGAGCTCCGCTTGGGAAGGCACCCGGAGACTCCAGAGAAGAACAAGGCGGTCAGAAAACTTCTGCAGGATGCAGGCTACGACTTGTTGGGAGTCAGTTGCTGGAAGAGTGGCGTTTGCAATTCGTTTTGGATCAAAAAGCGCTTCGTCGACGTCGAAGCTGCCAAGCAACATCTACTTGAGAACCCATTCCCAGGCACGTATGAGATAAACAAGTGCAATCCAACCGGAACATGACATTTTGAGTGCTTTCTTGGGTCGAGATTCCTGCAAGGAAGTCTGTAGTAGGACAGGTCTCCACAAGTGAGGACTTGGCATCTGAGACGTGTCTGCTGATGCAAATGAGTTGCGATCACAAGCGGACTGTCGTGAGGCCCGGCCAGCTTCTTGAGACTCACAACATGGGAGGTTCCCAAAGTCTCCCCTCTACTGTAGATGCGTCATGGAGAAGCTCAATATCTCATGTGCATGTTATGCAATGCGGGACCAGGAACTTCAGCTTCAGCTTGATATGTGGTTTTTGTGGATTGCATGGCGGACGATAGCATCTAGCGTTGATTTTTTCGCGGGTGATTCGATTGGTCGTTGGTGGTACTCATTCTTTTTCTATCTGACAGGGACGCCGCAGGAGGTCGAGTGGAGGGCGGCTGCAGGCCTTGTGGAGAAATCGAGCATGACTTGTCTAATTGCCATTCAGCTGTCTGCACTGTTTTTCTGCAGAGTGCAGTGTTTTTCTCCATAAAGTCTGACTCTGCAACATGTGGACAGTGGTGCCAGAGTGATTTGCAGCACAAATTCATCCGCTTCTGCAAGTTTCAGAGGTGGTTCCCAAGCACAGGACCGACTCTGCAACCTATACTTTGCCCTCAAAATTTGACCGTCATGATTTGGAGAGCATGTGTCACTTTCTAGATTGATTTCCTGTTCTGGTCTGGAAAAGATTGGATATTGTCTTGGGTCTTGTCGTCCGAACTGGTCTTGATATCCTGCGTCTCACCAGAGCGCTGCCTGTAGAGAAGCATGGGGCATGACGGGCATTTGGTTGGCGTTTGCGAAGATTTCAAGCTGCATGGTGCAGATGTTTCTTCGCTGTGTGTAGTTTCCACCTCTGTAGCCGCTGGGCAGGGCTTTTGCAGATCACGCTCGATCTCCATGGGCTGAGTGCGGGTCCTGTCTCTTACGTTGCAGCAGGATGCTGAAAGTGTGATGCTAGTGCGGCAGGTACGAGACTGAGGTTCGGCAGTACCGGGACGCCATTTGCCGGCGCAGATCTGCTTGGCCCTCTTTCTGTTACGTAGTTGATTCAGAGCTATACACGTCTCATTGCAAGAAGAGCTTTGCCTCTGCGAGCAGGCTTTGAATCTTGAGATGGGAATCCGAGTCCAGGTGGGGCGGAGCAAAGGCATTCAGCACGAGAGACTGCGACGGCCAATGGTGGGCCTCACAGACCTGATCACTTGTGACAGTACGTTTGCTCTGTGCATGTGTGAGTGTAGGACAGACAGAAGCATGGTGCTGCGTCTCGTGCGATTTGAAAATCAATCAACTGCAGTCCGCAAACCATGCTGCCGTCACTGCGCGGTGCGGAACCCAGGTGTTTCCTTTAGGTGCCAAAGGTGAAGTCAAAGCTTCGCAAAAAAAGGCTTGCTTGTGAGGCTCTACAAGGTGCCCGGTAGCCGGCCGCGGACATTCTGATGCGGTGAGAGCCAAGATCTAGAGGAAAGGGGTCCCAGCTGCTGACTATCTCCTCAATAGGTGGAGTTTGTCGGATTTTAACTTGGCAGCTCTAAACTTTCATGTTAATGCAAAACAAAACCGTGAAACTGATGGCACGAGCATGGCGGAATCTGAGCATCTGCAAATATACAGCAATAAGCAACCTCCTGATCAGTTCCACGAAGCTCGTTTAGTTCGTTTAACTCGTCTTTGAAATATCCAAGGACGTGAGTAGATAGAGCCATGTGCGCGGCAAAGCAACGTGCCATCTGGCGTGTGCATGTTGTCTGTCAAGCAGACAACGGGCCAAAAGGCCCGTTCGGTAGTCGGGCGTCGGACAAAGATGCCACTGCTGTAGTGGGCTTTAGCATCCCAACATAAGCACCCCAGCCGAAGCTTATGGAAAGCGTTGTCAGCATGCCTGGCACCAAGCATGCGTTTGGGGGTAGCTGGGTTTGCTTGAGATTTGCTGAGTTTCAGTGATGGAACTACAGGTCCTTTCACCCCGCAGATGCAAACCGCGTCCTTAGGCCAAGGGCTCAAAAGTTGGAGGACATCAGCAGTAGTAGCCTAAGCATATGGACAGATGTAGCCACCTTGCGAAACATAACAGACTAGAGTCCAGTCTCCAAGGCAAGACTTGCAGAGGATCGGACAACCCCTATGGCACTGCAGCACCTGGAAACAGCTGAAATGATTCAACCTTTTCCCTACCCTACCTGCTAAGTTAGCCTTCAAGGGATGCCCAGCGCCATGTCGTCTGCAGCCTCAGTTGAACTTCCCTGTTGGAACACATCGCTGTCCAGCCAATCACATTTAAAGTAGGCCCACGGCACATGGACTATGGTCCTGAAGATATGCTGGTCTCCCTAAACGTTAGACAGAGCGCCGCTCTTCCACCCTCATATCCGTTCGCAGACGCATTTTCCACTGAGGTTTCTCCCAAAGCTGGATGAGGAGCAGCGGAAGGTTCCCCATGTTGCTAACGACTGCAATGCTTTCATCGCTTTCTTGGCAGGTTGCGATGACCAAGTCTCCATTCCGCAGGATAACATATCATTAAACATGTATGGATGGCGCACCATTTTCAGGCTATGGTTGGGCAACAGGAGCTGACTGTTGACCGGGAATGACTCGATTTTGGCAATCGATCTCAGGTGTTCGAAGGTCTTTGAGGTCTTTGACACCTAGCGACTGCGCAGCATCCTTGACGCCTTGAACCTTCCCAAGATGCGGGATTTAAAGCTGAAACCACCAAAGCTGCAGCTGATAGCATGCTGAAGCCTTCTGAAGGCTGCAGGGGCGGTCGGGGGCTCGGAACTAAAAGATGGTTTGGGAGCGGCTGTTGTTGCCTTTGAGGCAGCCAGGGTTGCGAGGCTCAGGTTTCATCAGGTTTCAGGCTCACTGCGGGGCTTTTCAGAGCCCATTTGCAGGCTCCAGCGCTGGTTTTCACTGCTAGATGTCTTCTAGCAAGTGGTTTGCAGTTGATTCGACCTCTGGAACTTGTTGCACGTCAACCGAACCGACATCCTACCACATCAGTGTTTGAGCATGTCCTAGGGTTGTCAACGCCCAGCACGTGCGAAGGCTCTGGGCATTGCCACTTTGGCAGGTGTTGGAGGCCTCCTCTGGCGCTGGAGGCTTGCGGGGCGAAGGATACTTGAAGTCCCCGGGTGGATTTAGGACAGCAGGGAGTCCAGCGTCTGGTGGCCCATTCTAGATGGCCTTGGTTGTGGACCTGTCAGGCCTGAGAGTTCAGCCAGCTTTCTTTGCCCAACCATTCGACAAGCTCTTAGACGGTTGCTGGACTTCGTTCTTTTTCTTGGGGTAAGACGGCTGCAATCTCCTCTTTTTCCTCTCGGAAGGTGTTTCGCAAAGGATTTCTTGTCAGGAGCCAGCGAGCAAGAACGCTGAATCGACCATTCATCCTCAAGGACAGGGGAGCATCTTTGATCAATGCAACACAGCATAGAGGAGTTTGCACTCTGAAGCATCTGATGGCAGTGTATTAGGACCTCACGAATGGTGAGACCGTGGAGGCTCTGCCGACTTCCTGGATGGAGTTAGGGTCTTCCAAACTTGGTGACCATTGTGGGCCTGGCATATGAGGATGCAACTTTGAGGGGGCAATGGGAGCTCTGCAGAAGACAAGTCATGGCCCACTGTATTCTGTCATGGAACGATGCTTCATTCTGAAGCCTAGAGTTGTTGTAGCGATGTCTCGACAGCTCCGATTCCAACTGCCTGAGCTTGTAGTCTGACACAATGATGTTGTGGCAGAGGATCCTTTGGCCGAGCTCACGCGAGTCGTCACCTGGCTACAGGCAATCCTGACTCAGCACTGCACGGGACTGCGTATCCCAACGGTCTTGCAGGGATCTGTAGCTTTGTAGCTGCAAGCTGTTGCAAACTTTGTACCAGGACGAGATCATTCGTCCTCTGGATGCTCGGCTTCCAGGTCTGCGCGAGATGCCTGATGAGTTGCAGATTGTTTCCAGAGATCTGACAGCAACTTGTTGCAGTGCTTGGAAGGCAAACCTTTCGAGCATGACCTCTTGGCCTTCCCCTTCACACCAATGGTGCTGGTGGTGCGCGACCTGGTCAGTGGAGTCAGCGCGTTCTTTTTTTGAATGCTCAACATCGAAAATTACCAGCAGAGCCCCGGCAGCACCTTCACAGGATTTCTTTTGCTGACTGGTTGAGCCACATCATTGCACCAAGGTGGGCAACCACTCTGCTGGAAAGCCGGAAGCCAAGTGCACTGAAGCTGAAGAAAGCTAGCTTTGCATTTCGATAGTGCATCCCATTCTGCAGGCATTTGGCTGTGCAAGGCTAGTATCTGGTCATAAGCGTGGTCATACGGTCGCATCATGACGTCCACTACTACGGCCTGGGCAAACATGCAGGAGTCCCGAGCCGTCGGAAGCTTGGACCCAACTTGGGTCAAGAGCCTTGACGAGGGTTATGCAGTCCTCCGAGAAACCTTCAAATCAGGGAAGACCAAGAGCTACGAATGGCGGAGATCTCAACTGCTAGCAATGGAAGCAATGTTGAAGAACGAGGGGTCCAGGATTGCTGGAGCACTGGCAAAAGACCTAAGGCGCCCCGAAGCAGAGTCCATGCTCTATGACACTTCTGCTTCTCTGGCAGAGGTCCAGCATGCGTTGTCCAACCTCCGGAGCTGGATGAAACCTGAGAGTGTGTCAACTCCTTTGTTCTTGCAACCGGCATCGTCCTGGGTCCAGAGGGAGCCTAAGGGGATAGTCTACATCATTGCGCCGTACAACTTCCCTTTCTACTTGTGTTTTGGACCGCTTGTAGCTGCAATCGCGGCTGGAAATTGTGCGGTTATCAAGCCCCCAGAGCAATGTGAAGCCAGCTCCACACTGATCAAAGAGCTTTGTGAGAAGTATCTTGACAAAGACGCCTGCCAAGTCTATCTTGGTGGCATTCCTGAAGCAACGGAGTTGCTGACCCGGCGCTGGGACCATATCTTCTACACCGGCAACGGCTGTGTCGCACGCATCGTCATGCAGGCGGCCGCGAAGCAGCTTTGCCCTGTGACGCTCGAGCTGGGGGGAAAGTCGCCTGTGGTTTTTGACAAGGGCTTTTCAGCCGGCCAGATGAAGTTGGCAGCAAAGCGCATTGCCGCTTTCAGCCTCTTCCTCAATGCAGGCCAGATCTGTGTGGCCCCTGACTACGTCCTTGTCCACAAGGAAGCAGAGCAGAGTCTCAAGGCTGCTCTCAAGGAGGCTGTGGCCGAGTTGGATCCTGCAGGCAACCCCAAAGAAAACCTGGGCAGATTGGTACACAAGGGCCACTATGAACGCATCAAGAACTTGATTGACAGTTCCGGAGGAGAAGTCCTTTGTGGTGGTACGGAGACGGCAGCCGGAGCAGATGCATCCTCCTGCTTCTTGCCTCCAACAATCATCGGGAGGCCAGACCTGCGCTCTCCGGTCATGACAGAGGAGATCTTTGGACCGGTACTGTCCGTCCTGCCCGTGGAAGACTTGGACGAAGCCATCGATTTCATCAATAGTCGCGAGACGCCCCTGGCCCTGTATGTCTTCTCTCCAAGCACTTCGAGAGCAGGGCATGTCGTTCGCAGCACGAAGAGTGGTGGTGTTTGCATTAATGACACTGGGATGCACCTTGCCAATCCGAACCTTCCCTTCGGTGGCATAGGACCAAGTGGCATGGGAGCATACCATGGGAAGTTTGGATTCGATGAACTCTCCCACAAGCGTGCCGTCATGTCAAGGTCTCTCATGGTTGATGTTGATCGCTTCCCGCCCTACAAGGATTTCTGGGTGCAGCTCGTGAAGTTTGCTTGGGTTGGTCCTTGGCTCCCTTCGTGCCTGACAAAGGCTGGCCAGAAGCTCCGCTGCATGTGCAGGCGTTGACGCAGCCTGAAGCTGCCTCTGAGGTCAGTTTTCTCTTCAAGCAAATCGCTTGTTCTGCAAGTCTCACCCTCCATGTGTGCTCAAGTCAGATCTACAATGGAGGCTCTCAGGTTGTTGAGCAAACAGTTTCACTTTTAATGGTATCTGATTTGTAGAGTGCTGCCGCGCAAGAGTGCAGGTGACAATTTTCCGCCTGCTTGAGGCTTTGCGACGAAATGACTTCCAAGGGGTCAGCATTCGTCCTTTTGTTCCCAGCACCTGCGCTGAAGAGGAATGGCAGAAACAACACTGCGCCTGTGTACAAATTGCCCAGCTTGCATTTTGGACTGGACTCCAAACTTCTAAAACTAGGTTGTCACGAACCATCCATGCTTAGTTATGAAAGGTCCACCTTCATTAATCGGCTTCTTGGCACCAGCGTGCAGGACAGTCGCGCGGGAGCCTAGTGCAAGGTAAAGCTGGCCGCTTTGTGGCAAATTAGGGTCATCACGCAGGAGACCGGCGTGGCGCCAACTGATGATGGCTTTACCGTACCCAGCCCGGTGCGTATGCTCATCGACAGAAGTGCAGTTTCTGTAGTTGCAGGCGCCGTCCAGGTCCAGGGAAGGCTGCGTGTGTGAACTCCGGTAGGGAGATGGCCTGCAACCGCTCGGCTGTTTGGCTCTTCAGCACCCTGCGCTGGTGGCAGTGTGGGGAGCCCGGCCTCCGCGATGGGGTGCCGGTAGCCCGCATTGATGGGGATAAGTGGGATATAGTGGGCTAAGAGCTATGGCAAGGCGTTCGTTGAGGCCAAGGCAGAAAGATGCAGAAAGTATGAGTGTGCAATGTCAGGAATGTTTGCTGGTTCGCAGAGTTTTTGTTGCTTCTGGGTTCGATCCTCGAAGGTTTGGGGATTGGGCTCCACAAGAAAGAAAGGACTTGGGCTTGGGAATGCTTTGCGAGGGTCTCTGGACATCTCTGGACTACGCGGGGATCATCGTCTCCGCTTTGATCGAGTATTTAGAGTGCCTCAAGGCGCATTCGTGTCACAATTTAGAGAATGCCTGAGGTGATGGATGCCCTCTTCCGGCGGAAGGTCCACATACAAGTCATCAACTGTCACTTGGACATTTTGCTCCCTCTTCCGAGATACTCTCAATCTCAGGACGCTTAGTATGTAGCAGCTTGTGCTGGAAGGTCGCAGTCTGTTTGAGGTTCGCAGTGGCCATTGCTAACGTTTGCCGGAGAATTTTTCAACTCGGGCGGCTGGGTGGCTTGGCTGTCCAAGCAGACTTGACAGACTTGAGTACAAGCCCTGGTGAAGGCAAGCAGGCATGTTCTGTATGTCTGGCTGCTGCATCAGCGTGGAAGCGTGCAGGTTGGCTGTCGCCTGGAGGAAGTTTCAGAGGCTCCATCAGCTGCGCATCACGGATGTCACGCATGTCACGCGTGTCACGCATGCCTGAGTGCTCGAGCTCATCAGAGCAAGGACGCCTGCATCGAACTGGAAAGCAACGGCTGGACATCAGGCCTATGCGGCTACGTAGCTGGCCCAGAAAAGAGAAGAGCCTTTTGGATCCTGCTGAAGTTGCTTTTCTTCCCGGCTAGATGTTGATGTATGAGTAATGGTCAGTGCTCGCGTTTTCGGCCCGAAGAGGAGGAATGCCGTGAGATGTAGGAATTGCACCCCTAAGCGATAGGACCCCCCCAAAAAAGCGATATCGAAAACATGACTGTTTTGGTTGAACCCCCCAAAGCCCAAAAAGTGATATCCTTCTTGTGTCCTACACATAAACTGCCGACAGTATGCTGAGACCTTGCGCAGCCTCAGAGGTCACTTTTCGCAACAGCGATCACTCGCAGTTTTTTTGCGTCGTTGAAGCTCGACAGCACGAAGACTGAAAGTTCTCCAGGCCAAGGATGACACGTACTCGGCTGGAAGTCTGTTTGCCTTCTCATACCTCCAAAGACTTTCATGCCGGAAATTGTGGTAGAGGGTCTTGCTATTCCAGGACTTGTACACACCGAGTCTTTCTCTGACTTGTCATTGTGCCCGGTAGCGCTGCTAGCGCCAACCTGTTTTGAGGTGTCTTATCCTCTGTTGGGCTCCTGCTGCTTTACTGCTCGCTTTGGAGCTGACCATGGGTACTCCGGCTGCAAAAGGAAGACATTTTTTTTGGTATATTCTCGGGTTAACGGTTGTGTATCACCCAATGTGCAACATCTAAGTTCTCAGGTTGCGTGATCCCGCAAGTCTTCTGGAGATGCTTGATGCAAATGCTCCCTGCATCGGTTCCGGCAGCATGCCCTGCATTCCCGCTCCTGACACCGGCGGCGCCAAGGAATGCGCCGCCATTGCCGCCTGCCGGTCGGGGTCTCACTCGCGCTGAGGGTTGTCACTTGGCCAAAGGAGCAGCTCTGTGAGCTTTCAGGGCGTGACCTCAGACATTAAATCTTGTGGTTGACAAGGCACCTGGGAAGCGCTGGATGTGGGAACCCAGGCGTTCGGCAATTGATGAGTTGTAGATGTACTGCTCTTGCAGCCGCACTTCCGGCCTGGGCGCTCAGGATGTGGCAGTGATTCGGTGTGTTCTGCTGCCAAAGAAACTCAAGCGCCCTCCTGGCAGCAATGGCAGTGGGGGCTGGGACAGGGTTGCAAACGCTCCTGCAGCGACGCTGTAGTAAGCTGAGGCCTTTCTGAAGACTTCTCCTTGGCGGTAAAGAATGCCGCGTGGTGTCGTGGCTGAACCATTACATCCTCTCATTAGGCACTCGGAGACTGGCTCAACCTTTGCTCAGCAGGTGCAGACATGTCGTACCATGTGACCCCGGACCAAGTGACTCTGAACACAATAGGTGCGCCACGGCCAACGAAGATGGGGTGGCGGCCATGAGCCTCGGAAGGAGTACTGATTGGGCCCAGGAGGAGACAGTGCATCAGCAATGCTGAGCTCCTCCCTGCAGGAAGAGTGTCCGCCTGACAGAGCGACGCCTCGAAGTCGAAATCGAGAATCGGTAGCAACCTAAGTCCTAAGCTCCGTGTCGTGTGAAGGGAAAAGCTAGAGCAAGCCTGCTCCTGGGTTAAGTGGTTAGATTTCCGACGGATTTTGTCCAGGTCTTCAGAGTCATTCCTCTTTGACAACGACTGGTTCAAGCACGGCAGCTGGGTGGATGGTGTTGTGGACTGCTTGCCCCCGGGTACAACAACTACCCTGAAGCTCTGCTTGTCGGCAGAAATAGCATGTTTCTGTTTTGTTTACTTTTCTAGACCGCGACCATTTTATGGAGCTCACGGAGGCAACTCTGACTTCATCTCCGGGGTCAGTGGCCTCTTCTGGTACGTCAACCAGGCCCTAAATCAACCATCTGAATATGGACAATACATCTAGTAATGCTGCTAAGACGGAAACCGAGCGAGCTGTGTTGTCGGTGGTTGGAGGCACGTTTCGATGTGTACCTCAGCCTGGTATTTTCCCTTCCACTTGCCAGTGAGGTGGCTCGTTTTGCAGTTGGCGGATAAATTCTTCGCTTGTGTGATTGAGTTGAAATGCTCGTGCGGAGTGGTGGGTGGAGCCCCTTGTCTGAGCAGGCAGCCTTTGCTGCCTTCCTTGGAGCCCCACCCGCAGAGCTCCACAATGAGTGGTGCCAGGCCGCATGCTGATGTCTGAATCTCAAATCTCAACCACATTGCCAAAGTTGTGATGGCTGTGACTTGCATGTTGGGCGAAGCTGACCGCTTCATTTTGCAGGCGCCGCCGGTCAATGGCAGTGAGTGCAACAGGTGCAGCGATGGGGCAGCCGCTAGCTCGCTTCGGTATCACTCTTATGAACAGGGTTCTGATGAGTTCTACCAAAGCTTCCGATGCTTGCTCGGAAGTGGCAAGGCCTTCAGTATATTCTACAAATACCTCACAAACAACAGCGTTGAAATGCAGCTGCACCCAATTTACCGTCATACCCCGCACCAGTGCAGTTGCAAGTTCTGAAAGCCAGCAGGCACGGCTGCTGTTGGCGCGTCCTGGAGCGTGGCCCCATCTTGCGATTGAAGGCGGTCCTGCAGTGTCAGCAGCACCTTAGCAGGCAGCTGCTTGTATGGAAGCAGCCAGCCAGGTTACGCTACCGGAAGCTCTGCCGCGAGCCGATGCCAGGCTACCAAGCGAGGGATGTGGTTTCGCTTTGGAGGAGTGGATCTGGTTCTGCTGCTCAACTTCATTTCTCTCCTTCGTAACACATGCTGCTACAACAACATGCAGCAACAGATTCTGTTGAAAGCTGCTACACAGGCTTCTTCCTCTTGCTGGCAGCAGTAGGAGCAGTGGTGTAGTACGCAGAGCTAGGTAGGAGTATAAGTCCTGAACGAGCATTTCCTAGTAGCATGTGGTGCCGTGGTACTTGCAATGCTTATTAGATCTTAGTAGTACGTAGTTGTATATCTTGGTTTGTAGTAGAATTTAGCAGCATGTAGGAGTACATCGTAGTACATCGTGGTACATAGTAGATCCTAGTAGTAGTTGTACATAGTTGTGTACGGTACGTAGCACATAGTGGTTCATAGTAGTGCCTTGGCATCTTCTGAATGTTTGAATTTATTTATGGACATAGCATGGACGCCACTCGCTCACGGAAGGGGGTTCACTTGTGACT